TTTTCAAAATGGTGGCGGGTAGTTTAATGTGCAGCCTCGCTGCTACGCGGCGGTGATTGAAATGGCAAAATGAAGTTCTCTCCTACTCTGGGACGGACATGGGAGTCAAACGCGTGCCGGGCGGAGCTTGTAGCGTGGTTTGGGCCTCCTCCACCTTTCCCTGACACGACCCGTCTGGTGGCGTTTGGGAGCCACAGGTGACATCCAGCTGCCGCTGTGGAAAACGTGGACAGGAGGCGATTTCTTAAATAACTGTAACAAAAACTGGTTAGAGAACATACAAACTGCATGTTATTGTTCAGCGATAGAAACCGTTAATATTAACTAGTGTTAACCTAGACCATGCTGATATTTAGTCTTTACTACATCCACAACAACCTTGCAATAAGCAGCTTTATCTTAAAACATGCGAAATTCTTGCATTCCGAACTAGTGATATGGCGTGGATGCACTTACCTGGTCTGCCTACTGCTGCACCAGAATAAAATTATTGCCCTTGTTGTGTTGTTAGGCCTTGGCAGTTTGTGTGATTAATAATGTTTCTTTAATTGCAGGACTTCATAGATTTGACATTGTCCAAGACTCAGCGAAAGACTCCAACTGTCATTCATAAGCATTATCAAATCCATCGGATTCGACAGTTTTACATGCGAAAAGTCAAATATACTCAACAGAATTACCATGATAGACTCACTCAGATCTTAACAGATTTCCCCAAATTAGACGTAAGTGTTTTGTCATTTGTTAATGGAGAGGAACTTTGCTTTCAAGGCATCATAAATACTTCTGCAGTGCTGTACTGGTTTTATTTGAGTTTATTTTGGCCTAAGCTGATTCAGTGCTTAGCGCGTTTTGACTGGTGGGGAAGGGGTATCTTTAGCAGACCTGTACTACAAAAATACAATTTTCCTACTAGGAAATGGAGTCTAAATTCTGCTCATAAGTGATTATTGAATGATGAGTTTTGCAAGGTTTTTGCATTACCTTTCTGGTCAAGTCAATTTGAGAGAATCTGCTACTGAACGGTGAGAAAGAAAGGTTTTGTAAAGCTTGTTTGTTGTACCTGGTCTGCTTAATTTTTCTGTGTGTATGTAAATGTAAGCCATTATATTCATGGTTAGTCTTTCCTAGAAAATACCAAGAGGAATTAAGAAATATCCAAACAGGAGGGAGTAAGAAATATCCAAACATATTGCATTACCTCCCATCTGCAGTTCTTCAAAAGATTTACCTTGACAACACAAACGCTGTTCTCAGCCCTGTGAAGGATACTGTTGAAAACACACTTTGACAAGATGCTTTTAAGTCTAACTTCCCAACAGCTGCAGTTGATACTCCATGTATCCAGTCAGGTTTTCTACGGGTGTTTAAATTGTTGACCTGCAACCATATTTTTTGCTGATGTTTTCATATCCAGTGATTATTACTGCAGAGTTCCCCAAATATCTTCTGTATTTTGTTTAACATCACATGATGAAATTTCTGCAAATAAATACAGGATTAGCTAAAACGTCTTGTTTGAAGTTTGTTTAAACAATTTGAAGTAAAGATGGTGCTTCCTTAAAATGCTGAAGGGTTTATCTGGGCATTAAAGAAATGCTGTTTATCCAATCTTACGCAGGATTTAATGTAGCACTCAGAAAAAGAGAGGTGTTACCTTGTTCCTCTGGTCCTGCTGCAGCACAGATGGGCTTTTAGAAACTACTTCTACAGGCTTCTTGCAGTTTCTTTATTAACAAAAATCTTCGAAGATGTAATAATGAAGTATATTACAAAGTAAAAGGTGAAATGGAAACTTCGTATGAGTCAGTCCAAAATATGTTTTGCGGAAGACATTGAAAGTTGATAAGAATTATGCAGGTAATGGCTAAGCAGATTGCTTTCTTTACTTAAGAGAGTAACGAAAGCAGTCTGGCTTGTGTTGTTATTTGTGTTGCTGAATTGAGGAAAAAAAGGAACGTAGGTCGTTGTTGTCAGCTTAAAGAAGGAAAATGTTGGGCTTAATTTTAATTTATACTTTTGTTTTAGGATATTCATCCTTTTTACGCAGATCTGATGAATGTTCTCTATGACAAAGATCACTACAAGCTGGCTTTAGGACAGATTAATATTGCCAAAAATCTGATTGACAAGTAAGGAACGTTCATTTCTTCTATTTTGTGCCTTGTCCGTTTGGTTGCTGGCTAACTTCTTAGCCCTTTGTCTCCCCACAGCGTTGCTAAAGACTATGTGAGGCTGATGAAATATGGTGATTCTCTTTACCGCTGCAAACAGCTGAAACGTGCTGCTCTGGGACGAATGTGCACAATTATCAAAAGGCAGAAACAAAGCTTGGAATACTTGGAGCAAGGTTTGTGTGTTAAATAGGCTAAAATAAAGCTACTGAAGAGGATGCAAAATTCATCCTTACAGATGACAGTTAAACATTGAAAGTGTTACCGTTAACAGTAGCACTAAAAAAACAAGAATATGTTTAATACAGCAAAGTTGTAGAGGAACCGTAGAGACAGTTCCAAAACCCCCAAATAATTATAATTTATTCTTTAAGTAGTTTTCTCATTGAAAATTCTTTAAATTTTGCAAGTGTTATTATTTACAGTTATAAAATATTCCTTGCCTAAAAATCACATTCATGCTTTTATTTATTATTATCTTTCCTTACATATATTTGAAGAATTAGTGGAAAACATTTTCTAAACTTTATTCCTTACTTCACCGTGTGCTGCCTGATTTGATCAGGTCATTCTAGGTGACATGGGCAGAGACTTTGACTTTTAAAGTATTTGTACGGTTTCTTTTTTTGTATGTGGATAATTCTGCAGTTAACAAACAATTGTATGTTTTCAAAAATGATCAGTGAATCAATTTATCAATTCCAAAATGCCAGTTAAGTTGTGCATATGCATTTCAGAATATGAATTTTCTTCCATTTTTTGTTAAATTGTCTTAAATTATCACAAGCATTTAAGAGATGTGTTTAATGTTTCAGTGCGACAACATTTGTCTCGTTTGCCAACCATCGATCCAAATACACGAACTCTTCTGTTGTGTGGCTATCCAAATGTTGGAAAATCTAGCTTTATAAATAAGGTGTGTGAATTCTTTTTCAAAAATAAGACTGAGGTACCATTGAATTTAAAATACTTTAAGGTAACATTTAAACAATTTGGTGTCATTGTGGCACTGTCTCATGTCAGAGGTAACAAATTTGAACGTGTGAGTAGAGACTGAAAGAAATTCACAGTGGGATAAATTGAAAATTACAACAGATTTGGCTTAAAAATAGTGTTAAGATATTGTATCATTACCTTTACCGAAGTAGCATGTAACTGATTAACATATTTTCTGATAAAGACATTCCTGCAGAGAATGTGCCAGAATAACCATTTTGTTAGCTTTTCTGTAGCAAAGGAAGTGTATTGTAATTATTATTTACTGCTTGCCAATTCAGGAAATTTTAGTAAATGTCTATGAATGAATCTTCTTTAAGGTTACAAGAGCAGATGTAGAAGTGCAGCCTTATGCCTTTACCACAAAATCTCTCTTTGTGGGACACATGGATTATAAATATCTACGTTGGCAGGTAAGAACTGCTATTATCTTGTATTTTCATTAACGAATTAACTGCTTGTGGTCTGGTTTCCTATTTTGCAATGAGAGTTACATTTTCTTATCTTGAGGAGACAGACTGTGTCTGAGAGCTGTTGTGCAAGATTTTTAATGCAATATGTGAAATGAGGTCAGTAGTCCAAATCTATTCTAAAAATGTACAGGTAGATGTATGTGTTTCAGTTTGAGGGAGGAATGGGAACTGGAATTAGTCACTGAAGACTTTTTTTGTCACTGTCCAATTCTGGGCAAGGTTGGGGCCGGGCTCTCCCCACTCATTCAGCACTTGTAGTATTTGCTATTCTGAAACCACGTTCTTCTCCCGTTATTCCACTTTCATGGTCTCAATTTTGCTGAGTTTGCAGACTGACTTGTGGTTGAAAGAAAAGAACGTTGCTGTTGTCGAAAACGTCAGTGTTGACCAACAATCAAGCACCTTACAAATGCTGTATTAATTATCTGGTAATAAGGCCTGAGTTAATTATATTTATGTGAATTTTAGGTGGTAGATACTCCTGGTATTTTGGATCATCCTTTGGAAGAGAGGAACACCATTGAGATGCAGGCTATAACTGCACTTGCACATCTTCGTGCTGCTGTGCTTTATGTAATGGATGTGTCTGAACAGTGTGGGCATAGCCTGGAGGAGCAAGTGGAACTCTTCAGAAATATTAAACCGTTGTTCGCTAACAAGGTAGATTTGGTTTACATTGTTAATCCAATCCAGGTTTTTATAATGCGATAACTCGGGTAATGGTGCTTATTTTCTGTTTACTAGCCACTGATAATTGTTGCAAACAAGTGTGATGTGAAGAGGATTGCAGAACTTCCTGAAGAGAGTCAGGTTAGAATGCTTCCCCCAGCTTGCTCTCTTTCTTCTGAAATTTACAAAAGTACTTATCGTGGGCTAACATAATTCATATTGGGCAAAGACTTTTACACAGCATTTCTTAATTTTTAACTGTTGAAAAATGTAATGGAAAGTCATTTTCCAGGTCTTGCCCTGCAGTGTGTAATGTATATACTTGCCTGAATGTTATTAATACTAAGCAGAAGGCAACCCTTTAGCTGTTTCAGAAGTCTTGGAGGCTGTGAGAACTTCCATTTACCACGGTAGTTGGAAGTAAGACTGAATAGCTCTGTTCAATAATTTCCCTTTCAGTAAAAGTTCAGAGCCAGTGAGCACTAGATGGAGAGGTGCCACTGAACAATTTCCGTAGAAGCCTGTAGAAGCCCCTGTTGGGCAAGAGTTTGTGTATATCCAGGGTTATGGCTTTTGATGTGCACAAGTTCAAGGATGCACATAGTTTGTGTCTCTCTCTCTGTCTCTGTCTCTCTCTCTGTCTCTGTCTTTTTTTCGGTTATGTGTCCTTTGTAGTTGTTTCGTAGAAGCTAGTTATATGCTTAGAAATTAAAAAATTTAAATAAGACTGTAGCCATAAAGTTGGTCATCTTTTTAGAAATACGTTTTAATAAAATACTCAGTGACAAGTTGCCTATGTTGATAACTGGATTAAAATTTCTGTTCTTAATGGTGATGTTCTATTAAGAAATGGGCAGAGTGTGATTTTTTTGAAATATTGCTTCTATTTTAGAAAATATTTGAAAGTTTTCAAGCAGAAGGATTTTCTGTAGTAGAGACAAGTACTTTAACAGAAGAAGGTGTAATCCAAGTTAAAACAGAAGTAAGTTTCTTTTCTATTAGTTTTTTTCCAGATGAACATTTAACTATTTTGTCTCATTTGCGTGAATTTAATTGCTGTTAAATTGTGCATTGTAGTGACAAGCTTTAAGCATGCTATCCTTGGTAGTGTGTTTAGCCTCAGCAGATTTAGATGCAAACCTCTTCCTGGAAACTTACTTATATCTAATGTAATTCATAATTTTAAAATTTCATGGTTAGATTTATCTTGGTCTTGTTGCTTTATCTATATAATTTGTCAGCTGTCATTGTAAAAGTTAGTTATACGAAAAATATAACTCGTGCATCTTCCCTTGTTATTTTTTATATTGAAGTACCTTGAGGTTTTTTTGAGGGCTAGGGAGGTAAGAGAATAAATGTTAGATCAGATGTGAGGCTGGGTACTTGGGGTTGAAAGTCTACTGCACTGTTGTATCAGGAAGACTTTTTTTCCTTCCCTAATACTGCTGTGTGTACTCTTAGGCCTGTGACAGACTGTTGGCCCATCGTGTTGATACTAAAATGAAAGGAAATAAAGTGAATGAAGTGTTGAATAGATTACACTTGGCCATACCAACTAAAAGAGATAACAAGGTAGGCTACCTATTTACACTTTTTAGTATACTTTCCAGTACTCTTGAAAGATAGGCCGAATGAAAATTCTGTCTTGGCTCAACATGTGAACAGATTAATGTGGTGAGATTTGTTTACTTTTCATCTATAAATGTCTCTGCTGATAGGTGAGTCAGCTTGGGACTTTATTTCCTTGGAGAATACAATACATTAGTAATTTATGGCATTATGAAAATTACAGATTCAAGCATTTCGTTCTTGTTTTATGGGGGGGATTGTTGCATTAATTTCAGGAACGGCTGCCTTTTATACCTGAGGGAGCAATAGCACGTAAGAAACGAATGGAAGTAGACGCACCCAGGAAGAAACTGGTAAGTGGCATCTCTTAATTAGGGAATGAGTAGATGGTTTTTAAATTTCCTGAATTAGCACACATATTTGCAACCAGAAGGCATATAAAGCCATGTATATCTTTGCAGGAGAGAGATCTTGAACTTGAAATGGGAGATGATTATGTTTTGGATCTCCAGAGTAAGTATTATATAAGTCTCAATACTTAAATGATGAAGTTTGACTATTTCTGTCTTCAGGAAGAATACCAAAACGTGACTCATTTCAACTAAGTATCAATGGCCTTATTTTATTGCATACTGTCCTTTTCTTCTGTTCCATAACTTCTGATCTTTATTAACTCGTTCTGTGATGTGACTCAGTGTTTTCACATTTCAGAATTAATGACATGTAATAACTAGTCTGATGATTCAGTTGTTTTTTTACCTTTATTTTATATTGCGGTATCTCTTGATACAATCCTCTTCAAGGAGGTATCAAGATGAGAGAGGCTGCATATATTCTGTTTCAGCTGGGTATCTGTTGCTTATTAGGTGTTTGTAGTGGGTGTTGTCATTGTCCCACAATCTTTTCAGTTAGGAAGGTGATCAGAAGGGTTTTTGAATATCTATCGGAGATGCAGTCAGATTTGTGCTACTTAGGAATATTAACATAATTTTTTCATTGTGATCAGAGTGTTGTCTTCTAACATTGAATACTCTTTGAAAAATTTTTTTAAAGAATACTGGGACTTGATGAATTCATCTGAAAAATATGATAAGATACCAGAGATATGGGAAGGTCATAATATACTTGACTATATTGATCCGGATATCATGAGGGTGAGTTTTCCGTTATTCTTTTTACGCCTTTTTGCCTTGTCATTCATTTATTTAGTGTAAATTACTGTATTAGATAAAATAGTGCTTCATGAAAACAAGGTCTGCATTGTCTGAACTTGCCATGGGAAAAGACAGTGTTCTCTGAATAACTAAGGACAGAATTTCAGAAAAATGGAAAATTGCTTTACCTTATCAGAAGGTAACCTCTTGACTCTTTTAACTGTAGAGAGAAGGAATGCAGTTATCAAAATATATGTATTATTAATAATACGAACATTCACCCAGTGAGTAGTGAGTGCAGACTGTGGAGCTGCTCATTATGTAGTTGGGCTCATCTGAGCTGCTGGTGCTGCAGACTCACGCTAAACATAGAAAGAGAAGAATTTTTTAGAGTATGATGCCATAAACAGCACAGCTAGTGCAGGTGAAGGAAGGTACAGTACATCAGTGCAATGGGCAACTTCACAGCAGCCATACAAATGCAGCCAAACTATGCTATGATGTGAGCTAGGAAGCTTGCGTAGTATTGTACCCCATGGCTTCTTGCACAGTAATCCATTTCTCTGACTGCATTAAGCATGGCTGGAAGGATCATTATGAGTAACGTAGCTCCTTCTTTGAAGGGTCCGCATGGTGTTTTTATCATGGCTCTGGCCAGTATGAAAATGTAACGTTGAGATCCTGAAATTATAAGTCAAGGATGTGAATTTGTGGTCCAAATACAAACATCTTGGTTTTCATTTGATCTCTTCAAATTCTAAGAAACTAGAAGAATTAGAAAAAGAGGAAGAACTGAGAGAAGCTGCTGGAGAATATGACAGTGAACCAGAAAGTGAAGATGAAGAAATGATGGAAATCCGACATCTGGCACAACAGATCCGAGAAAAAAAGAAACTGAAAATCCTTCAGTCGAAGGAGAAAGATACACGGGGTCCGAGGATGCCTCGAACGGCTAAGAAGGCAAGTACAGAACATATTCTATAATAAAATCTTGCTGATGTATAATAACTGTATAAAAATGTATATTAATTTTGTATAGGGGAACGGATCCCTTTTTCTCATATTTTACCCTCATGCTTGCTTGCTTTCTTCTGTATTCGTAGGAGTGCTGATCTTTGTTATGGAGACATACAAAATGATTTGTATTAAGTCACACAAATGAGTTTTCTGTAAAATGGCCGTATATATTGCAGAAAAAGGTTTGAGGAATATAATCCAGCTCATTTAGTTGAGTTACTGTATGGGATTTTTAAATTATTTTATTTTTTTAAATATGGGAAGTTAGAAGTTTGAGATCATTATTTCAAATTAAAATTGTGTAAAATTTATTACGGGGCCTTCCTGTGCTGGAAAAGATCAGATGTTTCTTCTTGGAAGCTAGACACCACGTTTTCTAATGACAAAAACTCTTGTAACCGGTCCAAAAGGATTGGCTGATACCAAACTGTAAAAACCGGACATTTTCAGAAAATGAATCTTGCTAATTTTGCTCCCCATTTTGATGCCCTAATTTTGCTCCGGTACAGTGTATGCCTTTTGGGAGAGAAGGAAACATTTCTGATAGAAACACCCCTTCCCCTTTATCACCCTTCCAAAAAGGCAAACTATTTGAAAGGTCTTTTTTGGAGTGCTGGGACAAATCCTGTGAAGAAGAATTTATGGATAAAGAGAATTAAGTGAATGTGAAGTTGTGACTTGCATAATATGATTGAGCAATGCACCATAAAGAATAAATATGTAGCGTATATACCTATGCTTATGGCCATGTATTAAGACAAAAATTAGATAGGACCATCATTTTTAAAGAGAAACGTGATTTCTTAACTTTCTCTTTACAGGTCCAGCGGAAGGTGCTAGAGAAAGAAATGACTGATCTTGGACTGGACATGACTAATAAAGATGATGTAAGCTTTTTGCTCATTAAATATTATGGTTATCTGAAAGGGATCGGTTTCACTGTATGCTAAATTTCTTTGAGCACATTTGAAATGTTTTACTATGGTTGGCAGAAGAGAGAGGTGTGGGATTTATTAAGGAGGAAGTGTGAAATCTGAATGAGGCAGCAAATACTGGAATGTTTGAATGACATGGTTGTAACAGGCTGGGTAGCCTGAACGCGCCC